AGTCACAAGAGTATTTCAATCACGTCTATACCAAAAGCTGGATAAGTGTTATACTAATTCCAGGCACATCAGTTTCAAACTTCATATCATAATAAATAATGATCAGGTACAGGATACATGCGTATTATATCTCAATTTGAAAATATAAGTCTTTAAAAAATATTTATTTCGAAAAATGGAAACAATACTGTGTTCCCTTGAGTTACAAAATTCAAATTATAAAATAACTGTAATGTGAATACAAACGTAACAAACTTGTAACTAACTCATTTCGCCACGCAGGACGGTATTTATAATAAAATAGATGATGACATAGTTTTAAAATAAACAAAGAAAATAAAGAATCTTTGTCGTTTTAAGAACTGCGTATTGCCGGATGTCGATCCATCATAAGTCAGCTTTGACATTATTCTTGTGTATCCATGTCACCTTGGGTATGAATAGAGAAGGTCAATGAACAACATATAACATGCTTATTATTAAATTTCCATTAACGTTTTTATCAGATACATCAGTGACGACTATCAATGTGCTAGTTAGATTTGGTAATCACCTGTAATCACCATAAATCATCCATTCTTGTTATTGATGTTTGAGATGTTTGAACTTATATCTCCTCTCAGAATTATTTTGTCAATATACGATGGAACTCACCCATATGCTTTAAAAATTATTCTGCATTCAAATATTTCTACATCCTATTACTCAAAATATGACCAACTTCTTTGTACTCTATCAGAGTATGCAGTATCAGTGTATGGGTGCCAAACAAATGTGTCTTTATAAAAAGTACAAAATCGATTCCTTCATTTTAAACTACAGTTCCTCTTCTGGACTTCATACTTTAGGAATTCAGCAGTTGAAACTAATTGAATTCACTATACGTGTCTTGTTAACAAGATCTTAGCATTTTTTCTCAACATACTTGACTTTTTGACTGGTCTATAGTAACTTTATATCTTTTACTAGAATGCTCTTTGTATGAATGAATGTATTGTACTTACATAAGCAAAAGTTCCTAATCATATTACTGTTTTTATAAAAAAACATTGAACATTGAACAAAGTATTATTCAAATTATTTTCTGATCACAAAAAATGCCGATTATGGTAAACGATTAACTGAGATATTTTCAAACGAAAGGAAGAAATATGGCACAGCTCGTAATCTACCACAAACTCAGAAACTAACACGATATAAACAAGACAACTCAGAAAATTTAATTTTCAACTTGCCTCATTTGGCTGTTACTTTTTGTTAGTATCCAATGAAGCAATTAAACCTGAAACCTGATTTTTTTCATTTGCAGAAAGAAAAAGATTTAGAACTGACAGCCAGGATTGGAAAAGAATTATTGGTGAACAACACCAAACTAGAGAATACTGTATCGTCATTAGAAACTGACCTGAAAGCAGCACATGAAAAAATCACCCAACTCAGTCATGAAATCCAAAAAAAGACTGAACTTATACAGATTCTTACTAATGATATGGATGAATCATGTTTGGAATCTGCGGATCTCGGACGGATAAATTTGGAATTGATAAATAAACGAATATGTGAGTATGTTGATATGTGCAATTCATAAGGTCTCGAAGGTTCACAATACATATATGATTCAAAAAGCATATACTAGACTGAAGAACCTTTTTTATTAGCACTATGTTCTGTGGTGGCAGTGTTAATACTCCACCTAGTATTATAATTTTGAACCAAATATAACCTACTAATAGTTTCAATCACAAAAAAATTATATGACATTCCTATATTCCCATTATTTTGGAAAAAAAAGTCTCGCACACCTGACAACTCCCACAATATTGTACCACCACCCTAATACATTTATGTGTGTTTCATCATGTTTCTACAATCCATTTGGATTTTTTTAAACTTTATTGTGGAGGCCCCTCTCCTGTGAAGGCCCCGGGGCAGTAGCCCCGCCTGCCTTCCCCTAAATCCGGCCCTGTAAATAAACACTCGTAATGACATAACTCGGGTGATTGTTTTATTGATAACTTTACAGACGTATTCCATCAATTCAAATCTATAGTTACATTTTTACCGTTGGTCATTTTTATCATTGACGTCATACAACAATTTCTCAGCGATTCATATGCGATGGCTTTTTTGGTCAAAATTCAGCAATTTTGGAACGAACTTCGCTGCCACACGATTCATGCTCAAAATTTTCGAAAAAATTGCATGGCATGAGCCAACCGATATGCCTACATCCTCAGCAACTTCTCTAATAGTGATTCGACGATTCTCTATAACAATTTTTTTCACTTTCTCAAACATCTTCATCGGTTGTTGATGTGATGGGGCGTCCACGGCGAGCGTCGCGTCGTCATTCACATCTTCTCGACCTTCCGTCGTGCAAACATTTTTTTGACTTTGAGCTCTTTTACCGTATGCCACTGTCAATATTTCAAGTATTTTTGAGCACTCAATTCCATTTTTTATAAAAAATTTTGTGCAAATTCGTTGAGCCTTTTTTTTCAATAGCCAAACACTATCAACTTTTATGCCTAGAATGTATGTAGCCCGCAAAATTTGAACATTCACTTTATTTTTTAAACAGACCCCGTAAAAACTATTTTCATTCATTCAAGTTGCATTTTTAAGCGGATGTAAATGTTGTGAAAGGACTGATATTGTTTTTGGGATATGTAGAAGATTCTATCCTCTTAAAGTTGCATCCGTATGCAGTTATTCTGTTGAAGAATAATTATTGTAACTGATTTAGTTGAATACATGCTACCCACTCAAGATTTGAAATAAATACTTTCTTTTCATAGTCGGTAATTTAAGAAAAAAAAGTTGAACAGTAGTTATCTACAAATATGTAAACTTCCTACAGGTAATATTAATATATTTTCAGGAATCTTTCTAAATATTTAGAAGAGGTCTCTGTATGGGAATTTCCTATTACAATATTTTCTCTCATGATAAAATCTTTCGGAATTTGTACTGTAATACTAATAATCTCATGAAGCCATAATAATGGGCATTGTTTATATGTAGAGATATCATCATGATGTTCAATCTCAATTTCGAAATATAATGTCTATTCTTATTCGGTTCACATGGTTTCTTATTGAATGACTGAGAAAAAACATATGCACAGAAAATGTAAATAGTTAGAGTTGGTTATATCTGTTTCAATGAGGATGATTATGTAATAATGCACAAAGGTTTCCTTCTATGTTTTACAATTAATTATGAAAAAATGGGTTTCGAATAATATTGAACATTCATCTCATCCATTTCAAAAATAAGAGACCTCCACTTTTAGAAAAAGGAAAAACTATAATAATTTTCATAAAACAATAAACGAATAGGTAGTAATATAGAACCATGATTTTGTATAAATTATCTCTGTTTATTCGTTTTTGAATTGTTGAGATTGTTGTAATTATTTTTCAGTTTCATGCTGGGAGATTTTTGATACATAACCATTTAATATCAATTTGTGACAAAATTCCCTTTTTTTGTTGAACCTTGATTGTTTAATTTACAATATACAGGGCTATTCAAATTCATTTCTGTACATGGGGATCTCGTAAACGATAAGAGATAGAGTGTCGGTTAAATTGTGGCAAAGTGGGAGATTTTTGATACATAACCATTTAATATCAATTTGTGACAAAATTCCCTTTTTTTGTTGAACCTTGTTTGTTTAATTTACAATATACAGGGATATTCAAATTCATTTCTGTACATGGGGATCTCGTAAACGATGAGAGATAGAGTGTCGGTTAAATTGTGGCAAAGTTGCGTATTTTAGAGACCTATTCAATGATGTAAAAAAATTGAATATAACTTTTTTGCTTCTGGAGATATNAATGCTACACATTCAACACATGTTTACGTTTTGCGTACTTTATGTAAGTTATATTTCATATACTTCGAATTATTCATTTATCTTCAATTAGCAGATTGAAACTCAAAACACTCGGGAATTATCCATTCTCTCAAATTCTGAAATTCTTGAAATGTGGTTAGTTTAATAGTTGAAGTGGAGCCACAATTTGAACTTGTGATGCCAAAAGTTGAACCTTCCGCAAGATAAGAATTAACGAGGTCTAACATTTCAACGTTCGATTTCTAGAATGGGTCAGATAATACGCAAGCGGGCAGTCATCTCCCAGAATTGGGATCGAACCTACGTTCACTAACGGCTGCTGTTCTGTCATGATTTTGTAAATTATGAATGTATTTACTTTCTAATAACTCTTGGGCTAACAAAAAAAATAGTAAATACTAACAGAAATTTCAAATGTCATTTCTTAAAGCCTTTGTGCAAATCTTTAACCAGTGTGCAAATCAAACAAAAATTTCCAAAAGACATTGTTTGCTTAGAAAAATATCACCAGAGACTTCTCTGAAATGATATATCAAGACAGTGAAAATGTGAATATTTATAATAATAATGATAATGATCATAATCTTCTTTTTTGGCAATCATTGATTGTATAGGAAAAGTCAACAAAAATTATGACAAGTAAAAAATATATAACATCAGTATATTAGTTTCAAATTGCATCATGCGATTCATATCTTGAATAAATTCAATTTGCAGCTTCACTGGAGGACGAGAATAAAGCTCTCAAAACAGAATATTGTCGATTAGCTTCATGTGCAGATGATATAGAGGCTCAAGAGGCACTATTACTGAAAGATCTGACTGGACAGCTAAGTAAGTTTTTTTACCTTTATATCTTCAATTTTGTAATGAAATGATGATGAATAAAAAAAATGACCACAGCAATTATTTTAAGCGTGTGCAAACTCAAGCATGGGATTTTTAGAAGATGAAATTGATCGGTTGAAAGAAGAGAACCGAATCCAATATGAACAAATTTTGTTATTAAGCTCCCAGTCACAAGATTCAGAAGAGAAACTACGAAAGGTAATGTTGTTTTTATTGAAATTATTCCTTAACGAATGTTTGGAGTACAAACTGAATAGGAAAAAGTGTTTTTTATATAATTCAATATTCACATAAAAGTAGTTGTTTCGAAAGTCATTTTTCTTTCGTGTAATTCAATGTTTATATGAAAGTAGAGAGGGCTTTTTCTTCCAGTTTGTGTCTGAAAGTAACTTATTTGCATGATCTACGCACCTTAATTTGAAACTAATTGTTTTTTTTTCTTTTAGGGGCTGTTCAAGTATTACATAAGCATATTTATTACAATTGTTTACCCCTCAGCCCCCTTGTCAGCAAAAGTAAGCAAAGCTTTTACTCCCCTCCCATGGTTACGTAAACATTGTTATATGCATTTTTCAAACATAGACAATGTGTGGGTTGCCATATTTGTAAAAAGGTAAATAACAACTGCTGATGTAATCACCATCATCTAGACCCCCCCGCCTCCCATGTCATCAAAAATAAGCACAGCAAAGATGCCCCTCTATAGTTCTTACGTAATACTTGGACGGCCCCTTATCTAGAGGTTTCCTACATTTTCTTGTATGAAGATAGAGATGGAGAATGTCAAAACCGTTCTTTCCCATAAAGTATTTATTTTCACAAAGAAAAAATATAGCTAAAACATTTTTCGTTTGACTTCTAAAAAGAATTTGTGAAGTTTTATAATTTTCTTATAGTTCAGGATATTAATTTTGGAATATTGAACTGTTTTTGTTTTTATTTCAAACAAGCATTTGATTAATGATTCAGTGACAAGCGTTGACAATTCTTTGATAAAAATCCTATATGGGTGCTTGTTGTGTTCTATAGATTATACAAGTATTTCTACAAAAAGAAATCAAGGGGCGACAAGTCTGGTGCCGTGGAAAATGTTAATCTGAATACTGACGAACATTGAGATTCGTTACCCCTTATTTTCTTTATATGTTGGTATCTGAAGAGTATGATCTATATAACGCAAGCAGTATCTTTCACGATTTGCATAAAAAATTGTCTTCGAACCACTAAGGAAATGCTTCGGAATATATAATAACGTTTTTGAACGGATGTGGATGGTTTGTACCATCTGTCAACTAAATAGGGAGTTAGCAAATAAGCTAAATTTGAATACAATATTGGACAGTTTTACTGAATATTCAGGACTGTAAATTGATACTTTCGAAATAATGCCAGGGCTTGAAATTTCTACTTTTGACAAGACAATAATTGATAAATTGGTTAAGGCTTTCGCGGCCGAGATTTTCAATGTTACTATCTTCATTCGGGTTTGAAGGCCATCGTAGTTTGGAACTGCACCCTAACGTTTCGCCAGCACGAGTGGCTGGCTTCTTCAGAGGTTTATTCATCTTAATGATTCACCGATGACTGGTGTTTTGTAGTCCGTAGGTTGTATTTATGTTGACACAGGTAGTCCGCCTCTCTTGTTGATGTGTTGCTATTGGCCGAAGTGTTTAATAACATGTACCTGTTAGCGGGTTGTTATTGGTTACGGTATTAATACTTGACTTATTAATGAGTGACCTATCGTCTCTAAGAACCATTGCATTGCGCTGTTGCCACTTTAGCATCTTTGAGTATGGGATTCCAAATCCGCTTAAGCGTTACCGGCTTATCTTTTCTGTTGTAGTTCTCTGTATTTTTATGAATTTCTATGGCTTTCCGTACAAGCCGACTGTGGTGTCCATGATCGGGGACAAGTGGTTTCACATCTTCAAACAATATCCTGTGATCTCCTTCACTAAGCGCGTGTTCAGTTACTGCCGATTTATCTATTTAACCTAATCTACAGTTTCTCCGATGTTCATTCAGCTTTGTACCCACGGATCTTTTGGTGCTACCGATATAAACTTTTCCACAGGGGGTATATCGTATACAATGCATATACAATACACCCCCGCAACTGATAGTGGATCTCTTTTGTCTTTCGCAGATCTAAGGCTTTGTTGTATTTTCCTGGTGAGCTTGAACACTGTTTTTATTTTATGCTTCCCTAAGACAAAGGGTCTTGAGAGAACCAGGTCGTCAACAAAGCCTAAATTTTCCTCGAGAGGTTGCTCCCTATCAAGGAGGGACAGTGATGTTTTGGGGGCATCATGTTCAATCGCCGAACGTCATTAATTCCTATACGTGATAGCATGACAAGTCGAGTTTATATTGAAAATGTTATCAGGCCCATTGTTCATCCATTACAAAACAATCGGGTGAAAATTTCAACTTGATCTACGATGACGCCTGACCTCATCGAGCAAGAATGGTTCAAGAAGTACTGGAACAAGGGCAAATTACCGACTAGACTGGCCACCTAATTCGCCCGATCAGGATCCCATTGAAAACATGTGAAATTTTGTTTCTAGAGTAGTTCACAACAGCATTAACCCACCCCAAAATGCAGAAGAGTTAATTGCAGAAGCAAAAGATGGATGGAATAATATTGCTCAAGAAAAAATCAATTGCTTTATTGTTTCAATGCACAGTCGCGTCAATATGTTATTGAGAAACGAAGGAGGTCACACTCACTACTAATTGATGTTTAGTCAGGATGTCCTAAATTAATTAAAAGTGTATTTTTGCGGAAAAATACATTCGGAATTACTCATAGTTAGAAAAAATGTTATTTTATTTCAAAATAAAATAAATTACAAAATTACTTTCCGGTTAAAGACTTTGGATTTTGTATGTAGTAGTATTTTACAAAACTAATGGATAAAATTATAAAATTTAAAGTTTACAATGGAAATAATTTAAAGGGCTTCGAAACGACATCTCATGCCATTGATGCCCTTTCTTAGGAGTGAAAGTATAAGCACAAATATTGGAAAAAATGTTACACTTTTATCAAAAAACAGACACTGTTTCATTCGGCCACCCTGTACATAAATGTATATAATTAATTATGAATTTTTCAGCTTCTCAGTGAAAATGCTGAATTAGATGGTCTGTTACAAATCACCAAAGAAAATCAAGGTAGTCTCGCGGTTGAATTATCAGAATTCAAAGCAAGGTATTATGAAGTCGAGGCGTTACTGAGAGATACTCAAGAACAGTTACGGAAAATGAGAAAAAGGCAAACACCTGCTGCAAGAATATCGATGTTTTCTTCCTTGGGTCAAAGTGCATCTGGTCCATATGATAGTTTACAGAGTGAACTTGAGATGTCTATTCATTCAGAACTTAGTGCAGATTCTGGAATATCTGGTACATATATATCGTAAGTTGAATACATTAATACAATATTTTCTTGTCAAACCATAATGACTGGAATTGAGTAACTATTAATATTCAAGTATGAAATTATATTATGATTACTTTGTGATATAATTCTGTCAGAAAAAGTGTAATTTATTGAATTAAAAATAAGGGAAGTGTTTCCTTTTTCTAATACATTTTTTTGAAAATATTTTACTGAAATTGACGTCCAATCAGTTTAAATACAAAGAACAAATAAAATTAACATTACACTGAAAATTTTTTGCCAAAAAAATTATCCTATCAAATTTGTCTATTTCTAGTCATGTGTGTCGAAATAACCAATGAAACCATCATTACACTGATAACTACCCATGGATAGTTTTCACGGGTAGTTATCACTTATGTCATGACATTGCTAAGCAACCAACNATTATTTTGGAAAAAAAAGTCTCGCACACCTGACAACTCCCACAATATTGTACCACCACCCTAATACATTTATGTGTGTTTCATCATGTTTCTACAATCCATTTGGATTTTTTTAAACTTTATTGTGGAGGCCCCTCTCCTGTGAAGGCCCCGGGGCAGTAGCCCCGCCTGCCTTCCCCTAAATCCGGCCCTGTAAATAAACACTCGTAATGACATAACTCGGGTGATTGTTTTATTGATAACTTTACAGACGTATTCCATCAATTCAAATCTATAGTCACATTTTTACCGTTGGTCATTTTTATCAGTGGGATGGAAAAAAAAAGAATCTTGGTATTATGTGAATTCGGAGACTAATGACGATGTACTTTTTTCAAATGAAAACTCACATTTCTCTCTATAATTTGTGTTGAGAAAAATTATCTTCGCTTTATTTAGTGGCATTTTTGATAATATTAAAAGGTCACATTAAAATTGAAAAATGTCAAAATATACAAAATAAAAAGAAGGTGCTACTTATTTTTGAAATGGCGCAGAATATTTAGGTTATTGAAAATATTTTGGGTAGGCAAATCTTTTAGATAATAAGAAGTTAGCGCTGCTCTTTGATTTACAAGGTCTCGAACTTTTTTAATAGCAAAAACAGCCTTGGAGAGTTTAGTACACAAAAAATTCACCTGTTGTGACCACTGGAGGTGACTGTCAATTTGTATACCTAGAAATTTCACATTTCCATACATTTCTGCCTGATTAGCAGAATTATTTGGCCTACAATCAAATTTTAGGCTTACAGTTTTACTATCATTCATTATGAATTCATTGCTGGCGAACCATGTATGTGCTTGTTGTCTGACATCATGTTGGGCTATTTTGAGATCTTCATCCCTTTCTATACTGATTGTGAATGTAGCATCATCTGCAAAGAGTACAGATAATCTGTTATGTGCAGCCACATTATGGGGTAGGTCATTAATATAAATGAGGAACAGCAGAGGCCCCAAGATTGAACCTTGAGGTACTCTCCTTTCAATTTGTAGGAATTGACATTTCTTATTATTGCACTCCACTCGCTGTATTCGGTTGGTCAAATACAAAGTGAACATCTGTTGACAGGTTCCACGAATGCCATAGTAGCTCATTTTGTTTAATAAAGTTGAATGATTGATTGAATCGAAGGCACATGTAAGATCCGTGAAGATACCCAGACTTTGTTTGTTTTTATCAAAACTTTCTTCAATAAATTTGGTAAGGGACATTATGGCATTGGCAGTCGATACTCCTTTCCTAAAGCCATATTGTTCTGCTACAAGTATATTGTGAGGATCTAGATAGGATGTTAAGTCATTATACATTTTTTTCTCCAAGATTTTAGAAAATACTGGAAGTATAGATATTTGTCTGGATGTTCACTAATTTCTTTGAGAACAGCCTCCTCCAATTCTACAGTTCTTCTAGTCCGTGGCCATCCTACTGCAGAATTTGTTTCAAAGCTTCCAGATTCGGAAAGTAGCCGGAAAAGATTCGCAAATATCGCGGCACAAGGAGTCACGCGTTGGGGATACCTTTCCTGATAGATACGTCTTACCTCGCTTGAATTTCCGTCAGCCAAGCCGTAGGCAAAAACCATATCAGCTATTTCAGCATTCGTAAAGTCGGGCATGGTACCAAAAAATCACTTTATAAACTCCGAACTGTGAATTTGTCAATTAATAGTTAAAAATGTGACAGCAAACTTCTATTTTTATAAACAAACTTTCATAGCCTACTCGATTAAGGGTGTAACATAAGTACGTTAAAATATTCAAGTGACGTATTCCTGAGACAATTAAAAAAAAAGTCTATATGAACTTGTTTCCGAAAATGCTTCGTTTCGGAGATACGGGGTGTTGGAATTTAATTTTTTTGTTCGCTTTTTGAAAATAACTCTTGCAAAAAATAAGTTAATTGCACGAAATTTGGTACCTGGGGTTTTTTTGACGTGGAAAATCATAATTTCGTATTGATTTTCATGTAACATCTAGGGGGCGCTGCGTACGCTGTCATTAATTTCAAATTGCCCTAACTTTTTTGGCAGTGAACTTTTGGTACTTTTCATGAAAAAATCTAATTCTCACACCTTTTCCAAGTAAAAATGGTACACCTCCTCAACAACGCTGGAGGTGATCGTTTTCGAGATATTTACAATTTTCTATATCAATGCATATTACTTAGCTCCTAGGGCGCTAAGTGAAGTTGCTGAGAACATTACAAAAACTAAGTATGTGGTGGATCTCGTCAAAATAAACAACTTTTGCAGATGTTGTTCTTTGAAACCATTGAGCAAATTCGATACTGGTTGGAAATCAAGTAGCGTAAGTGCCTGGACACGCTGAATATGATAAGGATATAATTGCTGTTCCTTTGAAATTCTGTAAACTGTCATGTGACTCACATTTGAAGTTTGACTGATTTTTCTTGTACGTGTCTCTGGATGTTCACTAATTTCTTTGAGAACCGCCTCCTCCAATTCTACAGTTCTTCTAGTCCGTGGCCATCCTACTGCAGAATTTGTTTCAAAGCTTCCAGATTCGGATAGTCGCCGGAAAAGATTCGCAAATGTCGCTGCACAAGGAGTCACGCATTGGGGATATCTTTCCTGATAGATGCGTCTGACCTCGCTTGAATTTCCGGCAGCCAAGCCGTATGCAAAAACCATATCAGCTATTTCAGCATTCGTAAAATCGGGCATGGTATCAAAAAATCACTTTATAAACTCCGAACTGTGAATTTGTCAATTAATAATTAAAAATGTGACAGCGAACTTCTATTTTTATAAACAAACTTTCATAGCCTACTCGATTCAATTAACTTAATTTGCAAGCGGAGAGTGACAAAAATTATTGAAATCAAATTTGGCTATAAAGTAATGTGCATCGATATAGAAAATTGTAAATATCTCGAAAACGATCACCTCCAGCGTTGTTGAGGAAGTGTACCTTTTTCACTTGAAAAAGGTGTGGGAATTAGGTTTTTTCATGAAAAGTACCAAAAGTTTACTGTCAAAAAAAAAGAGTGCAATTTGAAATAAATAATGACAGCGTACGCAGCGCCCTCTAGATGTTACATGAAAAGTAATACGAAATTATGATTTCCCACATCAAAAAACCTCGGGTAAAAATTTCGTGCAAATAACTCATTTTTTACAAGTTATTTTCAAAAAGTGAACAAAAAAATTGAATTTCAACACCCCGTATCTCCGAAACGAAGCATTTTCGGACACAAGTTCATCTAGACTTTTTTTCTTAAAATTGTCTCAGGAATAAGTCACTTAAATATTTCAACGTACTTATGTTACACCCTGTATAGTAAGCCTTGCTGACAAAAAATGCCTTCAAGTTTTTCCTAAAAGATAGTCCTGTACGTACAGTATGTGTTGCACTCAATGTCATTTGAAAACGATTGATATAAAAATATGATAGAACTCACCGATACTTGATAAAAACCTATTATAACGCATTCAAAAAAACACTTTAATGTGAGATTTATATTTGAAAGTTTACAAAACCGCGACAATTGTTATATTTTTGAATGTTGGCCAAGAAGTGTTTAGAATCATTTCCCATTCTATAAACTAATGAGCGTAGTGGATCAGGTGGTAGGACCAATTGTGGCAATTTTACTTTTCCACGAGCACAACACCGCTGTATTTCTTTGCCTACAATATTGAGAAATGATTGTGATTTTTCCAATCGTTAAAAATTTATCTGAACAATAATAAATTTTTAGATTGTATCAGAATGCATCATTTTCAATCTCCTTGAAAGCAATTATGACATGTCGATTACGAGTATTATCATTTTCTGTGTCTCGTTGTTCATCAGTGTGATTAGCATGTGACGTAGCTCGTCACACATTTGCTTGATTTCCATAACCTAAGTAAGGTCGTCTTTTCCTTGGTATTGTTAATTTAAAAAGTTCTTGCACAATAACTACTAAACTATTTTACTAATTGCTCTACATATTTGTTTGTTGTCAAATATTTATGGTGTCTTGTTACTTACAAATATGTATCAAGCTACACAGAAAAATTCCTATTTGGCTACTTGAGTAGCATGCTCATTTGGCACAAATTACCATTCAGTCATACGGCCAAATGTCACTTATTCCGGGTCTTTCATTTTCCTTGCATAATGTTTATCAAATAATTTCCCAACTTTTAAACCTTCCTTGGACTTGGACTACAAATATTTCAAAAGCAAAATTAGCCAAATTTGTCCAGCCATTCTCTAGTTTCTCTATGCAACTCTGGACTATTATATTATTCTGAAAAATATAAAACCTCCAACTTTCCAGTATATGTCATTACCCTGGAGGTTGTTTACAGGTCATAATGGATAAAATTTAGCCAGTGATCAACTCATGTTGTATTTATTTATTTGTAGGCCCCAATACAAGAAAGTTTTTGAGACGGTCAGATGTGCCTCCCAAAACTCATTAGGCAGCGGAGAAAGCATGATGGGCAGCTTCCATTCAAGCATGGGTGGTTACGTGAGCAGTTCTACAAGCGGTGAACCTCGGATGAGCATAAGATCTCAAGGTGGATTAGATTTAAGAAGATCGTCTATATATAGTAGCAGTTCTCTAGGATATCCAAGTGTTGATTCTACTGGTTATTCAGATACCGATTCTAGTCAAACTGATTCAGATGAAAGTTATCCGTAAGTTGTGAAAATGTATATAATGTGATGGAATCGGCTGATACTTGATGAAAATCCATAACGTAATCAAGAAACACTTTAATGTGATATTTTCACTAAACAGTTTTACAAAAATGCGACAGCAATAGCTTCTTCAGGCGTGTCTTTACTAAAGACATTCAATGTACTATAGAAATACTTTCATATGATAGGAATTCCTCTACATTTGGCATTATATTCAGTCTTATCTGACCCATTTTTTCAATTGAAGTAGTGAAGACTCACATGAAAATTTAACCATAAATGGTGATAGGTATTATCATCATCCCCATCAATTGATTTATTGATGGGGATGATGATAATACCTAACTTTGGGTCTAAATTCTTATATAATCTGTATGATCAACTAGCATTTGGAGATTTAATTATTGAAGTTTGAAATTCATTCCTTTCATATTCAATATTTATATCTTAGTACAATAATTTTTATCGTATGAGTTATATAAAACAGAACTGGTAACATTTATATCAGAAGATTTGTCGGGAATATTGATATTTCAAATGTCAGAAAAAAGGAATGATTGATATATTACATATTTATTAATTTACCTAATTTCTTACAATTTCTTTGACATATTGTCACCATTTTCTGCATCCTGCATCGACTATATTTGTAGCAATATTGACAAGCAAAATGTTTCATGCACAGTTATTCCATCTGGATTATCTGATCATGAAGCACTGACATGTTCTATTCTTTTAAAATCAACAAAAAAAACAAACCATACATAAGTATGGTAGATTGTTCAGTCGTTCAAACTATGATAGGTTCTATCAAAACTGCCTTGAAATAGACTGGGTGAGCATACTCTCTGAATGTGACCCCTTTTTATCATTCCACAGTGCATTGTCTGATGTGTTCAATAAGTCGTTTCCAGAACAAATAATTAAAAATAAATGTAAAAAGCCATGGGTGACAAAAGGACTGAAAACATCCTCTAGAAACCTGCGCTCACTGCATTATATCAGAAAATTCACGAATGAAACATTTTTCTGGAACTATTTCAATAATTACAAAAAAGTATATCGATCCACTATCAGTCTAGCTAAGAGAATATATTACGGCAACAGAATGGGGGAATCGAAGAATAAAATTAAAGAAACTTGGTCAATTATAAGTGATATAAGAGGTAAAACAAAAAAGAAAAACTCTGAACTGCCACTTAATCCTAATATAATAAATGAGTTCTACTGTTCTATNNNNCCAAGTCCCGAACGCTGTTAGTCAACGTTGGATTAATGTTTTTGATTTTATATGGATATACAATAGGTTTCACAGCTCTTGAAAATGTTATTTGATAACATTTATTTATATTTAAATGAAGCATGTTTTCATCACACCAACGAGTGTGATGAATATATTTGGGAATATTTCTAGAGGAGACATATTTGGAAACATAAGAATAAACGGATAACAAGTATATCATCTCAATTAACAGGGTTGGCAAGGAACTAGAGGACCTCGGCTTGGAATCCTATGCACTAAGTGATCTTGAAGAAGACGAAGAGTATACCAATCCCGGAAAAGTATTTGATACATCCGTTCATACATACACTTTTACAAATAGTACCATATTGCACCCAGAGGATGGAATGTATGTAACACCTAGCCAAAGAGGGAGTAGAATGTCTTCAGTATGTTCAAGTGTTCAGCCATCACCGCCTCATACTCCTAGGACTCTGAGCAGGCGAAATTCTTGTAGTACTTTCTCCACTACTTTAGGATTAGCTAAAATGCTTAACGAAAGAGGTAAGTTCATTTTNAGACTACTTATCAATTCTTGGAGTTTCATTGAAGGACTATGATCCCTGTAATTTCGATTGTGATACTTCACGAAAAGTGTCACAAGCTCCGGTTCATTTTAGTGTTCTTTCATTTTAAAGAGGAGACTTAAAGTAGTTGTGTTTCAGAAAACTTGGTAATCCTTACAATCCAGCTCCAGTTTGGATTGTAGTAATTGAAATTTTTGCACAAATACTCCATTTTCACTCCTGAGAAATTTTTTTTAACTGTCTTCACTATGTTAATGTACAATTCATAGATGCTCCATACCAACAATGCATATTCAGTGTTAGAAAATATCTGTTAGGTACTTTTAGATTTTTCTGTAAAAAAGGTTTTTTCTTTAGGCAGTTTGTTTCCTAATTCCTCTATAAATTTGAGGTATATTTATTTGAAAATATGATGAAAACTCACCGATACTGAATGAAAATCCATTATAGCATTTTCATAAAACTCACTTCAATGTGAGATTGTATTAAAGTGAAAACCTCTCATTAAAGTGTTCTTTGAATACAGTACATTTATTTATTTTTGTACTCGTGAAGTTCCGCTTTAGTTTTTTGGCATTCCTTGTCTGGAAATTGTGTGATTCACATACTTTTTTTGTTGATGACGTCGAATGAAATGATATAGCTATTTGTAATTACATGAAAAATTTTACTCTTTCAATTATGCTAATTTTTCTATTTTTAGAAATCTTATTTAGTATGTATTACACTTGCAGTATCTCAACAGTCTAGATTCTACGGTAACTTTATGTTTCACCCTAATTTCTGAGTTAGTTTCTTTAATTCACTAACCCAATATGGTATTAGATATGTAAAATCAGATAAAGCAAGTGAATTGGTTATTTAACTCTGCTGTTTACTTCATTTGAACATTTTTTAAATTGCTCCTAATTGTGCCTGTCGAGTATTGTGATACATTTATATTGCACTTCGATTTATCACATGTATTCTACGCCTATGCTGTGTTGGCAAGTGTGTCATAGTGCAGAGCTCTATCAGCTCTATCAAATCAACACTAGTACAAAGTACCACTGATAGATGGAGTAGGAGGCATACAACGCTTCGGATGAGATTTGTCTAGAAGGTGAAATATAGTTGAAGGTGTTGCACTGTAGTATGATGTACTGGTCTGAAAAGCATCTAAGTTGTAAATTAGAAATAAGTGTTGTAACCAAATAGACGATAAAGTCTATTTAGTTGTAATCTCGTTAATGATTCCAGTGATTACATTGCCAGTGCACTAAAACATCATTAAGGGGTATAATCTCAAAAATTGCATCCAGGTGATCTCAAAAGGCGATTAGAATTTTGTAATTGGCTAATAAGAGGAAATTTGACGTGTAGATTTCTCCGGGTTCATGTTTATCTGCAAATTATTAATTTTTATTGAAAAGGACACTATGTCTACATACCTCATTTATCAAATTTTTTTTAGTTTCCTGGTCGATTCTGTCTCCGTATTTTTTCTCGAAATGAGCCAAACTCGGTGAGATTTTGATCCAATAACTTGAATATAGTTCGATGTGGTTGTCTTCTTTTGGGATACAAATTTAAATACATTTCCGATGTCCTAACACTGTTTCTAAAGTATTTGTAATAAATTTATATCATTTGTATCATTCGTGAAAGCCATTTTTCGCCAAAAATTCAATGACTTGTACGATAACAAAATGTCATCGAGTGATGTACTCGTGAAGTTCCGCTTTAGTTTTTTGGCATTCCTTGTCTGGAAACTGTGGGTTTCATATACTTTTTTTGATGATGACGTCAAATGAAATGATTTAGCTATTTGTAATTCCATGAAAAATTTTACTCTTTCAATCATGCCAATTTTTCTATTTTTGGAAATCTTGTTTAGTATTTATTACACTTGCAGTACCTCAACAGTCTAGATTCTACAGTAACTTTATGTTTCACCCTAATTTTGGAGTTAGTCAGTAACAAATCAACACTAGTATTAAGTACCACTGATAGATGGAGTAGGAGGCATACAACGCTTCGGATGAGATTTGTCTAGAAGGTGAAATATAGTTGAAGGTGTTGCACTGTGGTATGATGTAATGGTCTGAACAGCATCTAAGTTGTAAATTAGAAATAAGTGTTGTAACCAAATAGACGATAAAGTCTATTCAGTTGTAATCTCATTAATGATTCCAGTGATTACATTGCCGGTGCACTAAAACTTCATTAAGGGGTATGTTATTTGTATGAATATTTATTGTTGCACCAAGACTACATACAGGGCGACAATATATTTTACATAATCTATTATGAACCTATATCTTCAATATGGAAAATGGAATGTAATCATACTCTAGCAGAAACTACCCTTCAGGCGTATAAACCCTAAAAAATATATCATAAAATCACAAAAGTTGAAACAATTTTCATATTTGAATGTATGGAAATGACTGAGTTCAAGAAACACTTTATTGTGAGATTTTCACTAAACAGTTTTACAAAAACGCAACACGTGTTTCGCTATACAATAGCTTTTTCAGGTATGTTTATACTGTATACTGGAGTATAGACACGCCTGAAGAAGCGTGTATAGCCACACCTGAAGTGGCTTTTTTATAGCGAAACACGCCTGAAGAAGCTATTGTATACACGTGTTGAGTGTATACACGTGTTGAGTGGAGCTTCCTCAGGCGTGTATACAGGGTGTTTCAAATTCGATCCTCACCATTGGGATCTCGGAAACTATTAAAGATCGAAGATGGTTAAATTATGGCAAAGTTGCGCATTTACCTGATTAACAATATGCCGTTGAGAAAGTTCTGAAATTCCGAGTATATCCGGAGGTATCTGGAAAAAACAGAAATTTCGGAAAATGGTTTTTATTTTTTTTCTGGCTTTATTTTTCGAAGGATTCAAAAATAAATCGCACTTCCACATTGCCACTTTTTCCATGATACATACTTGTGTTTTCAGATTTGCTATCCGACGTTTCGTCTTTCGGCCACCATCTTCAACTTTATTTTTTTCTTATGGGCGCTACATTGGATTATTTCTGTTTTGAATAGAACCAGTTTTTTACCTTTTCAATAATATATCATAAGTAATCATTCTTTTTCGAAAAATTGGAGATATTGAAAAAAATTAATTCTTATCATAATAGGCTTTGACTTTGATGTTTCTAAATTTGATTTTCAATTTTTACACTCAATGACATTTTGTTATTGTACAAGTCATTGAATTTTTGGCGAAAAATGGCTTTCACGAATGAAGAAAAAAGAGATATGATACAAATTTATTACANTCATGTTTATCTGCAAATTATTAATTTTTATTGAAAAGGATACAATGTCTAACTTACCTCATACATACCTCATTTATCAAATTTTATTTAGTTTCCTGTTCCATTCTGTCTCCGTATTTTTTTCTCGGCTTTTCAAATGAGCCAAACTCGTTGAGATTTTGATCCAATAACTTGAACATAGTTCGATGTGGTTGTCGTCTTTCGGAATACAAGTTTAAATACATTTCTGATGTCCTAACACTGTTTCTATCGTATTTGTAATAAATTTATATCATTTGTATCATTCGTGAAAGCCATTTTTCGCCAAAAATTCAGTAACTTGTACGATAACAAAATGTCATCGAGTGTAACAAATTGAAAGTCAAATTTTAGATACATCAAAGTCCAAAAGCCTATTATGATAAGAATTTTTTTTTCAATATCTCCAATTTTTCGAAAAAGAATGATAACTTATGATACATCATTGAAAAGGTCAAATCTGGTTCTATTCAAAACAGAAAGAATCTAATGTAGCGCCCATAAGAAAAAATAAAGTTGATGATGGTGGCCGAAAGACGAAACGTCGGATAGCAAATCTGAAAACACCATTATGTAGCAGGGAAAAAGTGGCAATGTGGAAGTGCAATTTATTTTCGAATGCTTCGAAAAATAAAGCCACAAAAAATAAAAACAGTTTTCCGAAATTTCTGTTTTTCCGGATATCTCCGGATATAATCGAAATTTTAGAACTTTCTCAACGGCATATTGTTAGTCAGGTAAATACGTAACTTTGCCCCAATTTAACCATTTTCGTATCTCTCATAGTTTCCGAATTCCCGATGGTGAGGATCGAGTTTTAAACACCCTGTAGGCAAGAAGCTATTGTTAAAAAAACTTTACACGTGTATAGACACGTCTGAAGAAGCTATTGAATAGCGAAACAAGTGTTGCGGTTTTTTAAAACCGTTTAGTGAAAATCTCACAATGAAGTGTTTTTTGAATATGTTAGAGATTTTTATCAAATATGAGAAAATTCCATCACATATGAAATAACTGAACTAGTTTTTTTTTAAGTTGTTACATTATTAAAAATAACACACAAGCATTCAACAAAAAACTAGAATGAAGTCAAAAATGGTGTTTTTTTTAAAGGAATCGCTTTTGAACGCTATATAAACATTGATACTGATTCAGTTTAATTCTCCAAAACACCCTCCAAGCACAGGAAATGTTCAATTGAATGAATCAAAAAAGAGTACAATAACTACAATGAGGAGTATAACTGATAAATTTTTAAAAGTTAAGCAGGAGCGAGGTCTTTCTTTTTTTTTTTTTCAATAGGAAATGTGCCTTGAGTATCATGTGAGTTTATTCATTGGATAGTTTCAAGTTGATAACACAGCTCTACAAAAAAAAAAATTGTGTTGCCCTGGATATTTTTGTAAATTTTTATGTTTTCGAGTGCCTAAATCACGAATATATTTATGAAAGTACTGAATGTGCTCTATTTTTTATGATTTTTGCGTATCTTGTATTTTTAATAATAATCGGCTTGTTAGTAAAATAAATTTATTTTCTCAGTCACGATTATGCTTCTGCGCAACTTCTTTGCTCTGCAAAACAGCTGAGAACTCAGTTATTTGATAATATTGAAGTACTAACACGGAAATCTGGATAAGTTGTTATATGTTAATATTTTGTTTCAATTGATGAGTGTCCGTTCTAATATATTTATCTTGTCTTTTTAAACATGAGTTTGTCACGAAAGAAGTGCAAATATAGTAGTGATTTATTAAAAGTAAAGCTTGGGAAAGTTTTGTGTTGGTAGTCGAAAATTTCCTAGGTAACCATAAAGCACCAAATTATGAAGAAATTGTACAAAATATGCTGTCAAACTTTCAGATTCTAGGAGCAAATATGATTATCAAGTTACACTATCTTCGCAACCATTTGGATAAATTTCCAGATAATTTAGGAAATTATAGTGAGAAGCAGGGAGAGCGGTTCCACCAGGATATAAAAGTAATGGAAGAAAGATATCAGGGTCGATGGGATTGTCACATGATGGCCGATTTCTGCTGGTCTTTAAAAAGAGATCGTCCTCTGAAAAATTATAAAAGAAAAGCTCTTAAAAGAAATATAACATGTTTTCGAAATTTCCCTCTCTATTTACTTCAAAGTATCATATTTTTTTCCAAATAAAACTGAGATTATAAATATATCTGTTATTTTGTTTCTTGCTTTCGAATTTTTGTAATGTAAAATGAAAATAAATATTTAAAAGAAAACGAGAGCAAATCTTACAAAACCATTGATAATTTCATGAATTGTGAGTATAAATACACCCAAAATCAATCTTATATCTAGGGCAACAAAACCACTGTAGACCAGTGTAACCATTCTGTATTCAACTGCATCAGAAACTGATTCTGAAATCTTCATTTATATCAATTATTTAACTTAAACCAATAGCTAAAGTCATCAAATCATATATGGTAATATTGATATATACTTGATGAAAATGATAATAACTTTCTGACACACAGTTGTAAGTTCACAGACACAACAAAAAGGCATATCTGAAATGTTTTTGTAATTCAAAATATCACTACAAGGGAGGAAATCTACTCCAAGTGTTCCACCGAATTATCTCTTCCTTTCTAGAGAAAAGGTCATCTTCGGCCTCATAAACTCCTTTAAGAAAGTAATATTTTTTTCGACATTTATTTATTTATCCACGGCATTGCCTATTTTTACAAAATAATAAATTCACTCATATATACTATAACTATCAGCTAGATGTAGGGAAAAAGTATAAAAAAGAAAGGCAGAAATAAGCCAATCAATTACAATCTTTTTACAGTGTTTTTTAAATGATTCCAAAGAAGAATAAAAAAGTTCTAAATCCACATTGTAGGTGTTTGCAAGTCTCGAAATTCTGACCAAAAATGGCCGATTCTGTAGTGTTAGAGGAAAGTGACTCTATAAATAATGCTGAAAATTTATTCATGTGCTGCAAGAATAAACCTAATTTTACTTACTATGTGTGCATTAAGTGTTCCCGCATTCTACACAAGAGCTGTTTGCAGCGAATGAAAAACGTGCACTTTATTAATTCTTACAAAATAATGTGTAAAGAATGTTACTCTACACTGGAATCAGCTGTTGACGATTCACATGAAATGTGTGAAAAAAAATTATATAAACTTGAAAAGGACAATGATGAAAAAGATAAACAAATCAGCAAATTACAGTTAGATTCAAAAACGATTTTAGATGAATCAATCGATATGGAATCAGAACTCAAAGCTATGATTGAAGAAAGAGAACAAGAGATAAGGAACTTGAATAAAAAAGTTCAAACACTGGAATCCTTTATAGCAAAAAGCATTGATGATAAAAACAATGTGAGTGATGTTTGTACACAAACAAGCTTTGAAACCAATAGAACTGGAACTATTATACAGGAAGGGACGCAGACATACCTTAATACCTTTTCTACAAGATGTACTCAAACAGAAAGCGAAACTGATAATGAAATAAATATGAAGAAGAAAAATAAACGTAAATTCACTCTCACGAGAAAGAAAAACAGAGTCAAACTGAGAAAGAAAAGGGAGAAGTCAGGTGAAAATGATTTGGATAATGGGTTCAAGGTTCTAGTGATGTACAAAAATTATAGTCTTAATATACAAACTAAAAAGGACATTACTCCTCTGGTAACTACAAAGGATGTATCCAACATAAAATGCAATGAAAATCCTACAGAAAATAATGAGGGTGAAAAGAATTTTGAAGAAGATAACACCAAGAAGGCAGCTGATGATGAAAAAAATGGTTCAATGGATGCAAGTATAAGTGAATTTGTCTATGTAGCTATAGACTATATAGAAGAGAATTCAACAATAACAATTCTAATTAAAGGTGATGAATATACCGAAAATTTTTCTAAAGTAATAGGAATGATGCTTAACAATAGTAAAAAAATGTGATTTTATTTTATTTTCCATATAGAATTAACAGCCTAATTACATGGAAATTCTTATTACAAATTGTGTGAGCTTACTTCTCTACATATACACTGAAAGATTCATTTTCAAACTTATTCTCTATGATCACAGTTATATTTCTAATAAATAATTAATA